GATATAACACAACATGAAATAATGTGAAATGCTGCGTAGAGAACCAAACCGCTTTCCCCTGTTCGCAAAAGCTGGACCCGAAGCCTTGTGAAAAGGCTGTGTTCAGAAGGTGGGCACACATCACAACTCTGGTGCAAAAAACCCAGCTGCAATCCACCGATGCCTCGTATATCTCCATGAGCTTGTAGTTCCTGCGTGGGAAAAAGCAAGCCGAAACAAACCTGGAGCTCGGGAAAAAGGCTCGGTATGGCTTAAAGAGGCCGGGCTCGTGAGGCTTATGCCCGGTTCGAGCACACTTCTGGGTGGGCCGAACAGACACGGACGAAACACGAATGTGACCACCCCACTTGCTCTTTTCGCAGTAATTCTCACAGTTACTCTGTATCATGGCCCTCCTTGTGTTCATTCAATCTTCTGTGTCAGCCTTTCCGCATATACAGATAGGTATTTCAGGCAGACACTAGCAAACACACACGCACTGACAGGCAGCTGTATGTATCGAATCATCTACATACACATTTCTGTGTGGGTGTCTCTCTGCCTGCATGTGTGCATGCAACGCTTTGTATGTAGGCACAAGGCATGCCGACATATTTGTGGAGGCTGCAGCTATCTACTTACCTACCTACCTACCTACCTACCTGTCTGTCTGCCTACCTAACGGTTATCTTTCTTTATCCCGATAGAATATGTATGTATCTGTACATATACATCCGCGCCAACAAACAGCACGGGTATGGACAACATTCGTGCACAGTGTAGGTCGGAATTTGCCATACGTGGTATGCAGCCGGCTGCGTATCGTGACAGCGGCTTGCTTTCATATCGCTTCTTAAAGGCCCTCTGCTTGAAATTTGTAGTGGGTAGTTCTGACACTAATTGGACTCAACGTAAAGAATCCAAAGCGACAACATGCTAAGTTTACTTCTCAACCTGACTCGGATGCTTGGTTCGGAACCCCAACTCGTGGCCAAGACGCAAACGCCTTGAAGGATCCTATGCCCAAAAGCCTTGCAGTATCTTCTAGAACCCGTATAGTAACCTTTGCAGGCACCCCAACAGCAACCTTTATAGAAACCGGTCCATTATAACTTTATAGCTCATAAACCCCTTATCCAAAACCCCAGTTAGACTCCAAACCCTGACACTGACACCTAACCCCTATTCCCTAAACCCTTCGTTGCAACTGGGCATAGGGACTAGCTAAACCCAAAACCCTAAGCCCAAACCCTGTCTTGAAACCTAACATAGGGGCATTCCCCATTCTACTCTAAATATAATCAGGAACCCCCAAAAAAATAGTATTGGTAATTATTTAAGCGGCCTAAGTTAGGCCCCGATACTAACACGCCAAGCCCTCCAGGCAGACAAGGCTCACGAGGCGGTCGGCAGAGCTGAAGTGCAGGCCAGTCGCCTGGTTTAGGGTTTAGGGTTTATAGGGGTTTAGGACTTTAGGGTTTAGGGGTTTAGGGTTTAGGGGCGTTCCTGCTGGGGCTCCTTGAAAGGGTTCCTTTGAGGGTGCAGCGTACAACAGGGCTTTTTGGGGTATATTACAGTATAGATATAGGGACAATAATACCGGGAATACCAGTGTTAACTAAAACAACATGTGAAAGTACGTTCTCAAAGAACGGGACGGCTAAGTGAGCAAAGTGCGTCTCAACGTCGGGACTGCGCTGTGTTAAGGTTCTATTTAGATCAGTCTAGTGATGCGCCATGGACATGTTTTGGGGGAGTGATCCAGGGCATGCAAGGATTAGGGTTCGACACTGTGGCTCGCATTGTCGTGATCACGGCTTGGTCAGCTCTTGGCGCTGCTTTGGGGGACTGCTGGACGGGCGTCAGCATGCAGAACACATACGTCCGACAGTGAAGCACTAGGTGACTAGGGTCAGGACAGGCTCCGACTCCCGCGCGAATGCTTGTGCAAGCAGCGACCTTAAGGTGACAGGACTGCTTTTTTGTAAGGGTGCCGTACTATATTGGGGACCCACAGGGACCCTAATTTAGGGAACTACCCATTTCTGCAGTCTTGTGACCTCACCTATCTCTAGACCTGGAAGTGCTTGAGCTTGCCCCGCCGATCATCAAGCACGAGCCCAAGGACAAGAAGCAACAATGTCTGGAGGACGTATATTGTTATATATAGCATATTACAATATACTATACCGCCACCAGAAGGACGCTCCACGCAATCTCTATGCATTCACCCAGCTCGTCTGCACTTCGACGTTTGCTCAGCTGCAGCTCGACATGAACAAGGACAGGACAGCAAGTGTACAAACAGGAGCCTTAAACCCTAAACCCTAAGCCCTAAACCCCTACACCCTAAGCCCACCCTAAGCCCTAGACCCTAAACCCAGACCCTAAAGCCCTAAACCCTTTAAAGCCCTAAAGCCTAAACCCCTAAACTCTGCGGAGCCGAGGGGCTGGGCGCGACAGCTCGGGCCTGGGCCACAGGAAAGCGCCTCAGAAAGTGGCCGAAGACTTGCTTTTGATCATGGGATGGTGACTCCAGACATTCAATTTCTTGAGCTGCATAACTCACGCAACACAAGACATCTTGTTCCCGGGGTGGTACGTGTCGTGTAGTTTTTTTCCCCAGGTCTGACTGGCTGGCCTCTTGTCGTGCTTTGTAGCAAGATATTGGTGAATTTCAACTTGCAAGGACTTCTCTGTGGCAACCTCAGAAGGGAATAGGGATCGGCAGGGTTCGGGGGCTTGTGGCCAAGATCCCCTAAACCCTAAGCCCTAAACCCCTAAACTCCCTTGCTCCACAGGCTTGAACTGAGCTCGCCCGGCCAAGTCCCTAAACCCCTAAAGTCCCTAAACCCTAAGCCCAAGATCCCCTAAACCCTAAGCCCAAGATCCC